ACTTTGAGTATCGGTAGCCTGCAATACATATACATAAAACATGAACCAGGCAAACAAAGAGGTAAGATTGTAAGTGCAATTGAAAAGGAAACAAATGCATAAAACATGAACAGCTACTGCACGTACATATGCAGATGCAGCAACCAACAAGCCTTCCCAAGTCTCCAAAACAGCAAACAAATCCTCTCCAACCTCCCATAACTTTGAGTATTATTGACCTGGAAGTACATAATACATGAACAAGACAAACATAGATGCAAGATTGTAAGTGAAAAAGCAAAGGAAACAACCAAACATTCATGGAGCACCCAAATACCATTGCAATTGAGAAGTAAAATGCCATGGAATCAATACCTCAAGATCATTCTTTTCCTCTCCATCAAAACCCTCAAGTATTGTACCATGTGAGGCCTTCTCTACAGTGGAACCAATTGTGTTCATATATAAACAATTAGAAAGAGTCCTAAATCATGTATATGTGAAGGGAAAAAACATTTGGAATTATGATAGTGATTACCTTTAGCTATTCCCAAACTGTACAAGCTTCTTCCAAAGCTTACGGCTTTCCGGGTGTAGTTGATATCTATACAGATGGAGCCTATATATCCTAAAATGAAGTAAAGTACTCCATGAGTGGATATATAGGAATCAAAATCTGTCGAATCAGTCATGTTATGCTCTTCTACATCCTAGGTCTTCTCGTTCCTTCATCTGGCTTTGTTGCCCCCGGCAACAAACATGTATGAACCATTTCACGAAGTATGTGCTCGGATAATCCAACGTCTCGATAATTAGCTCTCGGTCTTCCGGCAAGTAGCACACAACCAGCTTTGAGCACACATCAACTATTCTATAGTATCTGGATCCAGCCTGCTTCGATGAGAAGAAATCACCCTACCACTGGTGCTAAAAGTAGACTCTGATACCACTGTAGAGACGGGAATAGCCAAAACGTCCCTTGCAACCTTATGTAATATATGATATTTACTTCTATTTGACTTCCACCAACACAAAACATCAAAATAAGATGTGTTGGGTATAATTGCCTCTTCCAAGCAACAATCCTGCTCTGATTTAGTTGGCTTCCTTTTCCTTCTAGAAGCATATAGAGCAAATTTGGTTGATGATTCCTTTTGACTTGAATAAGCTCATGTACTGTCCATTTGAATTCAATCATTTACCTTATCTTGCTCTTTTTCCTTTTCTTCGTATTCTTCAACTAGCTTGCGACATATACCAATCATCTTCTCCATCTGCCACTCACTATCCTCACCATAAATCTCAGGAAAGTAGCAATCCATTACATCAGTTTTATACCTTGGATCAAGTATAGCTGCAACCCCCATTAAAGAATGCACCTCAGACCAATACTTGTCAAACTTTTCCAACATGTTCATTGCCATAGTCTCAATGATTTCAATTCCACAAGCACACCACTGCCCTAAAGCAAGCTTAAGCTCACAAATCACTTCAAAAATCTGTTCTGTAGATGATTTATATCTGTTCTCCAGTTCGCTTCACTTAAGGACACCGATAGTAATGATTCTTCAGATGACTTGTTCCTTGTGATGGGTGTTCAACCAGCCTCTTCTTGCAATACTTACACTCAGCTTTTGGCTTGCCATCCACTGTTATCTATTGTAGTGTTGCCACCACTCCGAGAATACCTTACCAAACGTAGGACTCTTGCGTTTCTCCTTCTCATCAGTTGCAGGTGGGGCTTCATCAACAACATGAATAAAACCAGGTTGAGGGCCTTGAGTCGGATCGGGTTGAGGTTGGGAAGTTTTTGCCTCCACATTCAGAACAACAGATTCAGTTTGAGGCCCCTCCATGTCCTGTACAGTTTGAGTCCCCTCCATGTCCTAGACAGTTCGCATAAGTAGAAATTTAAGAAAGCAAACTATGAAACTAAATTGACTATTCAAAAGTTGTAAACCATAGTTGAACTAAATATTACGACTAAACTTGGTTAAAAGGAATAAAAGATCATTCCCTAAGACATGGTTATTGACCCAATCCACCTCTCTTTCTACGTGTATGAAACTGAATGCTTGAACTCAGCAAAAAGCGGCTCAAGCAATGATATATTAATGATCATCACCACCATTTTCCAGCAACCAATTTTGCAGTAGCCAAACAAAAATCAGTTGTGGTTAGCTAGAGAGATGTGTGCGAAGAGGCTTTTGTATTCAAGGAAATGGGTTGTGTTTCTCTGCTTCGACAGTTTCTAATTTTGATCTAGTTCAAGAATAGTATTGTAATTCATACCAATAATTCCAATGGTTTGAAGAGCATAGTTTTGGTGAAGAACCAGTTTGTTTTAATTTTGTGGCATCCAAACAAAACTCACCATAATTTTGCAGCAGCAAAACAAAACCCACTACGGTAAACAATCGAAATAGACCAAAGAAAAGTAGAAAACTAGGCCAAGAAGGATTTACATTTACCTCACCACTGTAATCATTGCTGACATCCTTACTAGAAAGTCTAAATATGTGAGCTTTCTGTCTTTCTTCTATCTCCCTTCCAACGGCGCTGTCGAAACTCGAAAGAAGAAGACGAAGAAAAGAAAATAGAGAAGAGGAAGAAGAAGGGTGTAGTTATCTAATAGCCCTCTCTCATCTTCAATTCAATGCTCCATAGCGCCATAAAGGGGAGTTGGGAATTGGGGAAGGAGATGAATCGTTAAAGGCACAAGGGTTGGGACGGCGGGATTGGGTTATTGGGTTTTGCGGAGAGAAACCCCTGTGGGAAGATTAGTATCTTGGGAGTGGGTATGGATGTGGCTTCACAGGTGCTTAATCGACGGGGCGGAGCAGGTTAGGCTTTGAGATCCCTATATGACATGTTTAAACGACGGAGCGAGTCGAGATCCTCCCCGTTCATATACGGGTCAGATTTTATGTGCCCCATTGCAAGTCGGATCGGATAAAATCCACCAGGGCGGATCTGATTTGCCATTCCTACTCACAATCACTCTTAAATATGTTTTTCCCTCATGACTTTTTCATTCATGGTTCGATATTCTGGTGTCTTGGACGTAGAGGAACAACAGCAATCCATCCCGAACTTGGTGGTTAAACTCTTGACGATACTGCAGGGGAGGTCTGGTGGAAAAATAGTTGGACGCTAGGATGATAAAAAGCTTAACACCCCTCATTCTTATTAGTTTTTCAATATGATAAAAATGAAAAGGTCCTCTTATTTAAAACCCTAATTATGAAATCCCTTCTCTCCCACTTAACACGCGGAACACATCGTTCTTATAGAGAGAGACACTTTCGCATCTTCTTAACCTGAAATGGCTAGGGAGAGAATTAAAGGTTCCTTTTAATGGTGCCCTGGGAATAGATCTAGTGGAGATGATGTGGGCCTATAGCTTATAGCATTAGAGCACGTGGTTATGAACCACGCTGTCGGGGGTTTGAATCTCTTCCCGTCCACAACCGGTCAAAAAGGGAAGGACCTTTCCTTCTAGAGGTAGGAAAATCATGATCGGGATAGCGGATCCACACTAAACCTCCATAAGAGTATGGGTAATTTAACGTTACCCATTTTCGAAAAATCATAAAAAACATATCAAACGTCCTTCGTTCGAACATTTTTCAGAGAGTTATGAGCCGTATAATTTGCCGATGTTCAAAAAGTCAAAAGTGTATTGATTGATTTCAAACACAAACTTTAGTCGCCTCAAAACAGTACTCCCACCCATAAGCTTGTCCATACATAAAGTGTCGTATGGTGGAATGTCTTTGTGTGACTAATTTAACATATACTAGTGTTTTACCCGGCCCGTTGGCAGGAGAATTTTATTTTATTATTAATATTAATTCATTGATCTTTATGCTTAATTTTTTGAATTCTATAGATATGTTATTTTCTCCCTTCATAAGTGAAGGTGGTATGCCTATATTGAAAATTTTTAATACTTAGTATTTAGCACACTTAATTATGATGTTTTGATTCATAAATCATATTGTGAAGGTTTGTCACGTCCCATTTAGAATCATATATTAATATTTTTCAACCAAGACACTCAAATTTATTATCTTATACAACATATATCAATACGTGATTTTCGAGTTTAGGCACACTCTCAACAATTAATGAGTGTTCAGATTATTGGATAAAGATAGGGTTAATACCTTAATTTGGCCCGAATTATACACAAACTTTCTACTTTGGCCTGTGGTTTTGAAAATTGCTCTTCTGGCCTGAACTATGTACCATACTTCCTTATTTGGCCCGAAGGCAGGTTTGACCGTTAAATTGGACGGTCAACAGAGTTGACCGTTAGTCAATGTTCAGCTCACGTGGCCACGTCAGCGAGCAGATAATAAAAAAATTTATTTTTTGAATTTATGTATTTTTTCCTTTCTTATAATAATAATAAACATATTTTTTTATTTCCTTTCTTATAAAAATTTAGAAATTCAAAAAGAAAATCAATATTTTATTTTTTGCTAGCTGATGTGGCCAAGTGAGCTGGCCATTGATTAACGGTCAACTCTGTTGACTGTCCAATTTAACGGTCAAACCTGCCTTCGGGCCAAATAAGGAAGTATGATACATAGTTCAGGCCAGAAGAGCAATTTCCGAAACCACGTGCCAAAGTAGAAAGTTTCTATATAGTTCGGGCCAAACTAAGGTATTAACCCATAAAGATACTTGATTACCCGATAAATTATGTTTATCCCGACTGAAATTTGACATGCATATCAGTCATTTCTCCTTAAGGAAAGAAAGAAAGCCATATTCTCTCCCCTGTGAGAGGTTTCCTTTCCTCTGTCTTTCAGAATGACTGTTCATCTCCCGCCTCCTGCGATTTTTGAATTCCTGAAACTCTTCTTGCTTCCTGCAAGTCTGTCCTTTCTGCTCTGTGTCTTTCAATAGACCTCTCTTCCATTCCCTCTCTTGTTTCTCTCCTGTTTTGTTGACTGGTTACCCTACTCTAGCTTCTGACTTCCATCTCTGCGTGACGTTTTGTCTCCCCGCCGATGGCATCTGAATCTGATATAATTGATAAAATAGCAAGCGTGAGTTTGACAGAAGAAGAAGAAACTAGCATCATGATAGAAGACTCCGATGAAGAGAAGGGCATTGAAGAAGTGATTACAGAACTTGGAGTTGCTGGGAAAATAATTTCAGGTAGACTTGGCTCGGCTAGGGTTATGAAAAACATCTTGAAAGAAGTATGGCGGCTAAAAAAAGATTTTGATGACAGAATCAACCAAGAAGGTATTATGCTATTACGGTTCTATTGCTACGAAGACAGGGATAGGGTTCTCCTTGGAGGCCCCTGGCATTATGAGAAGCAACTTATTGTGTTCAAGGAAATACCACCAGACTTACAAACAAAGGAAATAGACTTCTCGTCAACAGAGTTATGGACTCAGATCCGAAAGGTCCCGCTGAAGCTTAGAAATAATAATATTGCAACGAAAATTGGGGGAATGTTTGGCTCTTTCCTTAAGTGGGATGAACTTCATTCCGGACAAGATAGTAACTATCTGAGAATTCGTGTCTCTATCAACATCAAAAAGCTACTTCGTAGATTTGTGAAGTTGGAGGGGTCACAAGGCCCTGTCTCATATAAGGTAGCCTATGAAAAGCTTCCAATCTATTGTTACTGTTGTGGAATCTTGGGACACATGAAGAATGGATGCCCGAAAAAGTTGGAGAACCCAAACTCTGAGATAAAAGAAGAATATGGAATATGTCTCCGTGCTGAATCTCCACTAAAAAGAGTCGATCTGAAGCTCAAGGAGGAGAAGAAGAGGATGGACTTCCTGTGGAATGAATTGAAAGAAGGAAAAATAACAAAAGGACCCCGAAGCAAAAAAGTGGAACAGATGGAGAAGCAAATGGAGGGGACAGTACAAGACCCGGAAGGCAGAAAGGTGGTTACCAATATGGGAATCGAGGCTAGTCATGAGGTTGAGTCAAGCGAGATCAGTACAAAGAAGCTGGTGAATGAGCTACAAATTATTAGTTTTAAGGAGTCAAACACACAGGACATCGAAGAGGAGAGAACTTCCCCCCAAGGGAATAGAAACAACGAATCTAAAAGGGAATAGGGGAATCACACTACTAGCAAGGAGTCAGAATTAAATGACGCCTCTTTGCCAGATGATAACAGAGAAAGGCAGAGTGACCAGAAGGCAAGTAGCTTGGGGAACAAGTCAGGAACTAAAATAGCTGGCAGCAAGAAGTGGATTCGAATAGATAGGAAGAAAGGTGAGAAGACTGAAGGGATTAGGGAGGATGTGGGCAGCAAAAGGATGTATGAGGATGAAATAAAGGATATGGAAATTGACCCCCTGCCTGTGGGCGAAAGAAGTTTAAGCAGAATTCTAATCTAATAGTGGATGGCGATGTGGCGATCCATGCCGAGGAGCAAGGCCGCCGAGCCCAATGAAGCTTATAAGTTACAACTATCGAGGTCTGGGACAAACCTCGGAAGTTGATGAGTTAAAGAGGCTTGTTGGAAAACAAAGACCTGATGTTCTCTTTTTGATGGAAACTCGGCTGGCTAGCTAGGAATGGAGAAAAGTGAAGTGGAAACTTGGATTCAAAAATGGCTGGGGGGTCCCAGCTAGAGAAGATAATGGTATGAAGGCATGAGGAATATGTTTATTCTGGAGGGAGGGCATTACTATCTCCTATTTATCTAGCTCTACAAACTACTATGATGTAATAGTGGATTACGAGGAGGAAGGTCCAAAATGGCGATTTACTGGATTCTATGGGAATCCAAATAGAAGTGAAAGACAATATTCTTGGGGAAAACTACGAGGTTTAAAGGGAATCAGTGACCTCACGTGGCTCTGTATGGGAGACTTTAACCAAGTGGTGGCTGGGGGCGAGAAAGAAGGAGGTTGCCATGTTAACGAAAACATGATTTCAAATTTTTGTGATGCATTGGAGTTCTGTAGACTCATGGACTGTAGTTTTGAGGGTTACCCATTCACCTGGGACAATGGGAGAGGGGGAGAAAATTTCATAGAGGAAAGACTGGATAGATGCCTTGCTGACTGGGAATGGCAATTGTTGTTCCCAAACCATAAAGTTATACACCTGGATAGGTGTGGATCGGACCACTGCCCTATCTTAATGAACACAAAGGATCAAGATGAAGAAGAAATCAAGTGGGGATGACAGTTTAGAGTGGAATCTTACTGGCTACAGGACCCTGAAAGCAGGGAAGTTATTGCTAAAGCCTGTAATTCTAACGAAGATGGTAACATATTGAATATTCTGGGAGAATGCAAAAGAGAGCTTCAAAGATGGAGTAAATAGAAGTTTGGAAACTTACAGAGACGGATTGAGAAGATAGACTAGGAGCTTAGAAGGATTAAATACTACCCAAAGACTGAAAAACAAATCCAGAAGAGAAGGGAGTTGGAAGATGAGAGAACGGATCTCATACACAAGATAGAGCTGAAGTGGAAACAAAGATCTAGAGCGGACTGGCTCAAAAGGAGGTTACAAATCATATGTTTGATTATTACAATAACCTATTTACTGGGATGCCTAACCTGGTTCTGATTTTGTAGTCAATGTTATTGAAAGATAGGTGACAAACAGCATGAATGAGGATCTCTCAGCCCCATTCAAAGAAGAGGAAGTTAGCTGCGGTCTTAAACAGATGGGCCCAATGAAGGAACCTGGCTCAGATGGGTTCCCAGCTGGTTTCTACCAACAGAACTGGGACACGATTGGAGGCAAGGTCACGGCTGCTATCTTAAAGTACCTCAATGAAGGTTATCTCCCTCCAGAAATCAACCACACCCTGATTGTGCTCATACCTAAGGTGAAAAAACCCACTATGGCAAAGGAATTTCGCCCCATAAGCCTCTGCAGAGTTATCTGCAAAATTGTTTCAAAAGTCATGGCCAACAGACTCAAGAGTGTTCTTAATGACTTAATCTCAGAAGAACAAAGTGCATTCCTCCAAGGTCGGTTTATTACTGACAACATTATTACTGCTTTTGAATGTTTTCAGTACTTGAAGAGGAAGACTAAAGGGAAAAGGGGTTTCTTTGCTGCCAAGCTTGATATGAGTATAGCCTACGACCGTGTTGAATGGGATTTCCTTGAGAAGGTGCTTCGAAAACTGGGTTTCAATGAGGATTGGATTAATCTTGTGATGATGGAGCAGGAGATCGGAGATCAGTGGTACGTTGGGAATCAAAGTGGTTGAGTAACATCATAAATACCTTGGGTTACCTACTGTTATTGGAAGATCTAAAAGGGAGGTGTTCGATGAGATTAAAGAAAGGGTTAGAAAAAAGTTAAAATACTGGAAAAGTCTCTCTCTATCAGCTGCAGGAAAAGAGATTTTGATTAAAGCAGTTGCTCAAAACTGATCTACCCTATGATGGTTGTCCAAATGCCGAAAGGAATACTCCAAGAGATTCAAAGTCTGATAGTCAGATTCTAGTTGGGGCAAAAACAAGATTAAAAGAGAATTCACTGGCTCAATTGGAAAGCGTTACGTCGTCCTAAGGAAGCTGGAGGGCTCGGTTTCAAAGATCTGAGAACTTTCAATACATCCATGCTTGAGAAACAAATCTAGAATATACTAAATCGGCCTAATTCGCTAATGCCAAAGGTTCTTAAAGTTCGGTACTTCCCCAGGAGTGAGTTACTGAATGCTAAGACAGGAAGTAACCCCAGCTTCATATGGAGAAGCATTGTTAAGGCTAAGGATGAGATTGTGGATGGTTTTCGATGGAGAGTAGGGGATGGTAAAAATATCAATATTTGGAAGGACTGGTGGATTCCCAACATCAGGAAGCTATCACCAGCTCATCAGAACATCGAGCAAGATGATGATTTAAGGGTGAGCTCTCTCATTGACAGAGACAGTGGATGGTGGGATCTCTCTAAGTTACAGGCTCTATTCTCAGACACAGATCAAACAGAAATCACGAAGATTCCCTTGGAACCCCCCCCCCCCCCCCCCCCACAGATGACTCAATTCTTTGGGCTGAAACGGAAAATGGTATCTATAGTGTGAAATCGGCTCACAAAAAGTTATGAAAGAGAGACCATTCGAGGGAAGATGAAAACAATATGGATGTGCAAAAAATAAAAAGCTACTGGAAGAGGATATGGAGTCTTCCCATTCAACCAAAAGTGAAAGTCTTCCTATGGAGAATTAGTAGGGATATCCTACCTGTTGGAACCAATGTTGAGAGGCGAATTGATGAGGCCTCATCTGAATGCCCTTTCTGTGGTCTCTTGGAAACTCAGCTACACTGCTTGAGGGAGTGTGAATGGACTCGGCGTCTCTGACAGCCTTGCAATGACAGTGAAATCTTTATGCAGGGGGAAGGACTATCTGGCCCTGACTGGTTCCTCAAAGTCTTTGAATCCCAGTTGAATGATAGCCTACAAAGGTTTTGTGCTATCCTGTGGTTTATTTGGAAAGAAAGATGCAATCACATGTTCAATAACAAAAAACCCGAGGAGGAGGAGATCATTCCAAAAGCAATTGAGTGGATTGCCAATTACCTTCAAGCCCAGGGTACCAATGTCCAGAATGGGCGACAAGCTACCAGCATCTAGAGCTGGAAATCACCTCCGGCCGGAATCATCAAGATGAACAGTGACGCCGGAGTTTTGAAGCCGTCGGGGGTTGGAATTGGTTGTGTGTTCAGAAATTGGAATGGTGATTTTCTGGGAGCAATTGCTGGGAAGGAATTGGGGGTTTGTAGGCCGGTGGAGGCTGAAGCAAAAGCAATCATAGCTGGGTTGAGAGAAGCAAATCGAAGGTAGTGGAGTCCTCTGATAGTGGAGTCTGATTGTGTGAACTTGGTAAAGCTGCTGGAGAAGGAAGAAGAGGACCGCACTGAACTGGGGGTGTGGTGCAAGGAGATCAGAAGCTTGGCGGAAATCAACTCGGCTATGACTGGAAGGAAAGTTTAGTGGGCTTTTGTGCCCAGAAGTTCAAACTCAGTGGCCCATTTTCTTGCCCATATGAATTCTCATGTGAACCAGATGTTTATTTGGACTGAGGGTCCACCAAACTCTATTAGGAGTCTGTTAGAGGCTGAGAAAGCCCAATCGTTGGAGATTTAAATATAAATTAACAGGGCTTCTTATATAAAAAAAAAAACTTTACACGCATCGTATACCCTTTTGATGATCAAATGCTTCAATCATTACTCATGTTCATTGTGGATCTTCATGAAGTCTCAGTGTATGATATCATGATAAAATTTGTCTATCAAGACACTCAAATTTAGTGCAACATTCCGAACCTTTCCTGACGAAAATATTGTTCGCTTTGGGCCTCGACCCTCACGGTTTCGACTTGGGTTGCAATTCCACGTGACTTCCCATAGGGTATCATATTATACCCTAACCTCTAATGGGTGATCCCCAGTCCCTAATTTTCTAACCCAAACCATGAAATTTTCTTAATCTTAAAATAAAAATCAACGATAATTTCGATTAATCAGAATTGTTAATTTTCATTTCAAGATTAAATAAATCTTATGCTTTGGCATAGTGAATTGGAGACTCGAGTTCACGCATTAGGGGGTTAGGGTATAGTATCATGCACCAAACTCTGATTAATTTATTGTCTAAATAACAATAATCAGCGGCCGTATGGTAAGGTAAGTGTATGCCCGACTGTATGCAAGCCTTTGTAATATATATAGAGGTTAGTTTACTTTTAACACTAATCAATACCTTCGAACTCAACTCATTGGCTGAATATGAAAGAACAGAGTTTGTGGCTAAGGTAACTCGATGTAAATACAAATTTCTTACTCTTACAAACTAAAATATTTTCATTTTGTAACTTTGATATCTGATAATTTTGTTTTACTGCCAAAATTTGTATGGAGTCAGGCTCACAGACCAAATGAGTTCTTACAATTGTCTTACTGAACTTGTCCTTGTTAAAGATTCATCATATTAACCAAATGACTCGGTTTAGACTATTATAACTATTATATATATATATATATATATAAAATAATTTATACAATAATTTCCAACCCTTATTTAATTATTGCAGGGTCAGGGGTTGACGAAACGTGATCCTTAACGTACATCCTCA